GCCCCCCTCCAGGTGTTCTGCCTGGACACGCCCTACACCGAGCCGTCCACCGGCATCCCCCAGCCCCCCGGGGGCCTCATGTTCGCGCTGCGCTGCGAGACGGGGGCGCCCGGGCGCTGGGGGCCCGTAGAGGCGCACTGGCAGGTGCGGCAGTCGCGCTGTGAGCGCGGCGGCGATTTTGGACTGGCCTCATCCTGACTTGGAGCAGGTCTCTTTTGGGGGAAAGAGGGCGGGAGCCGGCCGCCTGCGCTTGCCTTGGGGTGCCTCCAGGGGTTGCGTGCGAGCGAGGCGGGCTCCGCTGCAGGCCTCGCGGCCCCCGCCGTTTGGCTTTTGCCTCCCACCCCTCCTCATTGACATGCCTCCACCAGGGCCTCTCCGTACTCCCTCAAAATACACGCATCCGCGCATACACACACACACAAACACACACGCACGCACACACACATATGCACACGCACGCACACACACACACACACCCTGGGCATGCCCACCCCAACCCCAACCCTGACAGGTCGCGCCGCTCCTCATCCCCTCCGGCAACCCCGCCCTCGCCAACATGCCCGGCGGCTACGGCGCCCACACCGCCCTCGCCTCCACCGGCGCGGGCGGCCTGGTGGGCGGCGCGGCCGCGGCGGTGGCCAACCTGCTGCCCGGGCAGACCGGGGAGAAGCTCAAAGGGGAGGTGAAGGCTATCGGCCACAAGCTGGGCAACTTTTTGAACCGGTTCTGACCGCGTGGCGGCGACCTGGGCCGTGCCGCGGCGGAGGCTTCAACACGACGCCGCGCCGCGGCGGCGGACGGGGAGGGTGGTCAGGCGTGCCGCGCGACGCGCTCGCGCAACCGCGTGCGTGTTGGCGTGTGTGTTTGCCGTCCGATGTTGTAACCAGGGGCTGGGGGTTACATGGGCGACAAGTTTGGGTTTTCTTCAATTGCGGGGCGTTTTTGGGGGGTCGTGTGCGAGGACCCTCTCGATGACGTCATGTCGTCGCAGCACGAGTGGCACCAGGGCACAGGGGCAGGGGCCACAGCCCCTGATGAGGGGTGGGGACCTGGGCGCCCGCCCTTGGAATGCTCCCGCTGTGTGACTTTGCTGGAATGCTTTCACTTGCGTCCGCTGCGCCAGTCTCCGCTGTGCATGCAGCGCTGCGCAGGCGCGCATCTGTAGGGCTGCTCTAAAATATGCAATTTTGCTTATCCGACGCACTGGCCACTGGTCGCCGACTTGATTTGGACACCAAGGATCGCTCGCGGCGGCGCCCGACCCCACAAGCCAACCTCACAAGCCATGCAAGCACTGGAGAGGGTGGCCTCACGCGCTGGCTTTGCTGCTCAGCAGCGTGAGCCGTGACCCTGAGTTCAAAAGATGGACACTTGCGCTTGACGCTATCAGGCGATCACGTTCGTACCCACTGCCCTGCCGTTCTTAAAAAAGTGAGGGATCTCCTTAATGCGCTGTATCTTTCAGGTGTAAGTTTCAGGGGTGGACTTGAGGCTCGCGTCACTGCAGCACACAACGCCCCGCGCGGCGGGGAAGGCACGCAGGAGGGCGCGGCGCGGCGCGGTGCGGCGGTTGGAGTGCAGGCACCCGCTGGGGCAGGGGCGGCCCCGCCGACCGCCCCCGTCCGCACGACCTCAACCCCATACCAAGCGGTTCCGGTTGATGTGTCTGCACCAGGGCTCCGCTGATGGCCTACTTGGCGGCCGCGCGGGACCCCGCCCGCCGCGCGGAGCGGTTGGGAGTCAACGCTGGCGCGGCGGCAGCAGCACGCCCGCTGCTTACGATGTATGGCTAGGTCCAACAGCGGCGCGGGTCGCGGCGGCGTTCGTCTGATCGCGGCCCAACCAGCGCAGCCTGGCGGGGTCGGGCGGGGTCACCGCATGCAGCTGCCCCGGGCAAGCGCGGAGCTGGGTGACTCACCTGGTCACCTCGCGGGCGCGAGTTCACAGGATTGGACGTGCCTCCCTCCCAGCCGGCGGGCAATGCGTTGCGCGGGTGCATGCAGGCGCTGTGCTTGACAAGCGAGGCGGCGTGCTCGCTTTGGGCTGCCTTGCCACCCAGCCACACCGGCGGAACCTTCGTTGCTGTAGCTGGGGCCGCGAAGTTGCGCGTGTCACCCGCTCTGCATTCTGTGGAGTGGTTGATGCCGTCGGTGAGCAGTCTAGGGAACGTCTCGAAAGGCCACTTCCAGTACGATTACAAGGCTTGCTAAGTAATACTTTCGGGCGCGTTGGCCGCGGCAACAACGAACCAGTGCGCGGGAGAGCTGCACGGTGCATGGTGCCAGAGTTATATCACACGCGCTGGAAAACGTAAGGGACGATGGAAAAGCCCTTAGAGCTCGGGCGCGAGCACCACATTCCGGACAATGCGCAGCGGGGCGCGATGGGTCCATGCTCCCACCGTAGACTGGCACATCTCGTACGGGTTCTCGCGCAGAGGAGGCTTGAGGTAAGTTATTAACCAACGACAACGCTGGCAGCAATCGGCTATCAACTGGGATTGCACGCTTGTCACAGCGGCCGCTGCTGACACATCTGATGACCCCACGACGAGCACTCCTGACCGACCCGCGGCGGCGGCCCCTCTGCACCAGGTGGATCGCCTCCAGCGCCAGCAGCACCAGCTGCTCGGCCGCGCCGCCGCCGCGCGCCTGGCCATCCGGCACCTCGAGCAGCTGCTGCAGTTCGCGGCCGCGACAGACCCTGAAACAGGCGTGCCGGCGCCCCAGCCGCTCTGGGATACCCAGCTCTCCGGCCTGCGGCAGCAGCTCGCAGACTCAGAGGTCCTGAGCGCCATGGCCGCGCCGCTGCCGCCCGCCGGCCTCCGCTGGTCCCTGCCTGGCGCCGCCGACCACGCCCGCCGCTCCGGCGCGCTGCGCCGACCCGACGCCGGCGCGGCGTTCGCGGGCGCGCTCCACGCATACCTGCTGCGCAGCGCGCCGCTGTCGCTGCGCGCGCGCAGCGGCGCGCCGCAGGCCGCGGCGGATCGAGCGCAGCTGGACAGCTTGCTGCGTGAGCTGTTGGAACACGCCGCCGCCGCCGCGTTGGTGCTGGGGCCGCCGGATGACGGAGACAGTGACAGGCGCGCGCCGCCGCCGCTGGCCGCGGCGTACGCGCGGCCGATCTTCCCGCCGCTGGACGGCGGGGGCGGGGGCGGCGGGGCGGAAGACGAGGAGGCATGGGAGGGGCGCGGGGCCATGGCCTGCTCCGTGGAGCACTGGTGAGCGGCGCAGCGCGCAGGGGGCAGCGGCGAAGAAAACGGGATTCGCTCTGCCGCGCACACGCGCCCTGCCTTTGCTGGGGCGGCGCGGCCGCGCCCGGGCTCGCGGCCGCGCTGCTGCCCGCCTGTCCAATGCCGCCCGATCGCCCGCCGGCGGCGGTCGCGGCGCGCTGCCCGGCTCACCACCTGTGCCGGCTGTGCTGCGCCGCAGGATGTGGGCTGCCCAGCAGCTGGAGCTGGAGCCCGATCAGGTGCGCGCCGCGATGGCCGTGCCCGCGCGTCTTGACCCCGGGGCAGCCTTTCCCCGGGATGCTCGCATGCGCGCGCGAGCCTGCGAGCGCGCAGCTGCAGGACCCCCCGCGCACCCCAGAGCCAGCTCGCAGGTGGATCTGCGCACGCTGTCTCCACACCCCCGTCACATGCAATCATCATGCCCCCCGCTCCAATCAACCGGAATAATCCCCTTTGCGTCCCATCAAACCTCTTCCCCCCTCCCGCCCTGTGTCACCAGGAGGCGGTGCTCTCTGCGATCCTCGACAGATGGCACGAAGCCTCCCAGGCGCTCGCGCTCCGCCGCGACGAGGCGCTGCGTCAGCTGTACC